CCACCGGGGCGCTGCGCGGACCGCGGCGGGTGCTTAGGTAACCCCTGCATCCCTGGCTACTTTTCAGATTTTTTTTTCAGAGGGGAATATCATGCCTGTAGTTAGGAAGTTTCTCCTTAATTCCAGATCGCTTCTCTCTTTTATCAGTTTCCAACCATTGTTTCTTGACCTGCCCTCTGGGGCTTTGGAGAATCATGTCTCAGATTCACAATACCAACACCATTCCTGTTATGCTCATCTGTCTCCTTCATGCATAATTATTTCAACCATGATTGAAATAAGTAAAATTATTTCAGAGGATTGAAATCTTAAAAAATGGCTTTAATCACAACTTCATTGGAAGTTGAGGGGTCCCTTGGTGCTCTTTGAGCTGGCTTGTTTTCTTGCAGACATTCCATTACCCATTAGTGCTACTCCTGATGACGTTACCTAGTTTGGGTAATGAAACGTCTACCAGAAAGCTCGGAGAGCACCAAGGGGCCCCTCATGTCAACCCTGAGCTACAAGTATTCTCCTTTATCCTTGGAAGTTATTATCATAAAAATATTTTATGAACGGTTTTGAACCGGAAAGCATCTGGACCAACTTTGAATGTGGATGCCAAGGAGAGCTCATCTCTTACCTTCTCCATGATCCTGTCCATTTGGCGGTTCTGTGTATCAATCTCATTGCCCATATCTAGAGCCATGTGACGGAGGTTTCCAATGATGCCGCCGACCTGTTCCAGGTTTTCATCCATCTCACCTTCTCGAGCATCATTTGTTACCCTGTGGAAGGATGAGAATTAAAACTGGACTGAACCTTATCCAAAAGAGAAGCTTCTTTATTAATGCAAAGGAATGCTATTTGCTGGCCATATCTAAGATTATTCTGTATAAAAACAAACGCTGAGCAAAATAAAGGGTTATAGGATATAATCTTCCACAACCTCCACAAGTTGAATCTTGTGTCAGAATACTGCTCTATATGCCTTTTAGGTTAATTATAGAAGAAGAACCAGCAGCATGTCAGGACACAATAAGTGGGAATACTCAGGCACATTTTCACTCCTTTCTGCACAAATTTAGTGAATATTATCAAAGCAACCTACATATTGGTTCATTCTAGAGGGTTGTTTTTTTTAACAACTTGATGTTATTAGCAAATGAAGTGACATTACACGCAGAGAGTTTCCTGGTGCCTCAAAGGATTTTTCTTCTTCTGAAGGAAAAGATGATGGATCTGGATAAAACCACCATCAAGCCATATGTTCTACTCAATGCCAGAATCCTAATTAAAGCATCTGAACAGATGGCTGGCCTAGCCTTTGCTTGAACACATCCACTGAGGGGAAGATATTCAGCTGGGGAAACGGTTCTACTGCCAACCTACTTTTACTGTTAGGAAGTTTTATCTAATAGCTCACCAGAATTTGCTTTCTTGTAATGTAAATCCATTATTTTATATTCTGTACCCCTGAAAGAATACAGAATAATAGTTCCTGACTTTCTTCTGTGTGACATTTTCTCCAAACTTGGGAGGATGCTATTTTATTCATCTTTTCCTTGTCCCGTCTATATATTCTTCAAAGAACTTAGATTCTAATTTCCAATAATCTTCATTTATCTATCTCCATGATCTCCATCTTTCTCTCTCTCTCCATCTCTCCCTCCTCCTGTCTCTCATCTATCACTTATCTATCCTCTATTATTTTTACAAATAACTCAAAGCAGCAAACATACCCAATACTCTTTCCTCCTGTTGTCCCCCTAAACAACAACCCTGTAAGGTAAGTTGGACTAACAGAGGGTGACAGGCCCAAAGTCACCCAGTCACCTTTCATGCCTATGTCTGGACTATAACTCAGTTTCCTGGTTTGAAGTCTGATGCCTTAACCACTAGACTAGCCCTATTTCTTTATTTTAATATTAGCTATTTGTCTTTTCTCAACCCTTTTCAGTTTATCTGAAATCCAGAACTAGATGCAATAGTTGGAATGGGATCTGACTACCACAGTAGAAAACGGAATTTTACTTTCCATTATTTGGAAGTGGTACTTCAGTTGATGTTCAGAAGTTTAAAACTGCATTTACCCTTTTTTCTAACTACACTGCATTCCCGCTTCCTGTTTAGATGTTTCACAATTTTGCCCCCAATAGAATGATTTCCGCTTGATTAAGAACGTTAGCATTTGCCCTTGTTAAACTCTGTTCTGTTATTACCACGTATTTCCCTGTCTTATGAACAAGGTTTTGCACTTGCAGCTTCTGGGACCATTTGCTATCTCATTCAGTTTTTTGTCATTTGTAAATTTGATAATTTCTTTCTCACTCAAGTCATTCATAAAAATAATGAAGAGAATAGGACCTTCCAATGTGCCTGTTGGCAGCTCATTTGATTTTCATTTGATGTATTTATTTGTCATGCAATCCAGCTCATAATTAATTAGCTTGCGACTGAGAATATCACAGTGGACTTCGTGAAATGTTTTGGTACAACGCTCCAGTAATGTATTAAGGAAGGTGCCTGATTCCAAAGAGTAAGAAAAAGGGAATATGCATTCTAGTATTCATTATATTGTTTTCAAGATGTTTACAAATCTACCTCTTTATGATTTGCTATGCAGTTTCCTCAAAGTATTTGCTAGACTGAGAGCTCTGGAATTTCTCCAAACCGCTCTTTCCCCCACTTTTGGAGATTGGGGCATTATCTGTTTTCTTCCAGCAGTTTCCCAGTTCTCCAGAATTTCCCAGAGATAATATGAAGAGGCTCAACATGAACATTGATGTTTTTTCCCTCCACTTCCCCAGAATGCAATTTATACAGCCCTAGAGATTTATATGAATAACTGTTCCTTAGCCACTTCTACTATCCTGTGATAAGAGTTACAGATTTTTACAGATTAACAGAGTTGGAAGGGACCTTGTAGGTCATCTAGTCCAACCCCCTGCCCAAAATCAGATGAGCAGACAATACATTTCATAACTAAATAAATCAATAAATTTACTAATAGTATTCCCACTATTGAGGTAAAGTGCCATCCATCACCCTTGAGCTGGCACCAAACAAAGCCAGGATAACGCTTACTCTTCCCATCAACATTCCCTAACCAACGTCGGGCATGTCAAATTTTTCAACTTTCAAATTCCAAACATTAGGGGTGCTCAAAAGTTGTGACATGCCTTGGGGATTGTAAAAATATTTTGGTTATTTTAATATAATTTAGATGTGCTTGGTCAGTAAGTACATAAATATCATAACTTTTTAATATTTTGTTTGTTTCATCAGTTACATCTGTTTGAGTCAATGCAAAAGATGTTGCCATGGTTTGCACACATTACACATAAAACAATTAGCTTTCTGGTTTTGTTGCCACCATTGGTCTTCATTGTGACACCAACAAAAAGAGAAAACACATAACAGTAGGGAAGGCTGACTTTCGCATTTTACCTGGGGTAGGGGTTTCAAGGTTGGCTTGTTTGCTCCACTTTTTATAACCCGGACAAGTGCCAAACTGAAATAATGTGAAATAGAAACTTGGAAAGATAACAGGTATGGGAGGAATTTGTTTCCTGCGTGATCATTTATTTTATTTATTAAACTGATATATTGCTCATCTTGCCAAAGGCAATTCTAGGAGACTTACAATCAATTATTAAAAAAAACAAAACTCAGAAAATAAAGTGCAAATGGAGGAGGCCAATATTGGAGACAAACAGCTGGCTAGTGGAAAAGGCTGACCAAAGACCAGAAGGGAAGAGGGGTTGCCCATGACTACAGAACATGATACTGGTCATGCCTACCAGAGGTTTATCTGCCTTTGCCTTTAAGCTAATGTGTGACAAAGGCTGATTTTACACAATTTGACAATCTAGGATAGTGTTGTCTTAGGAGGGAAAATACCATTTGTGCCCTTAGAAATGGCTTAAGAATGTTTGTTCCATGAGGTAAGGATGAGTTACTCATGTCTGGATGCAAGTGGAGCCAGGCAGGGCCCCCATGTTTTCACGGGTATCAAACTTCAGTCCTTTCCCTTCATCCTGCGTTGGCAATTGCCTGATCGAAGACTTCTCTCTAGTTGAAGGGGGACTATGCCAGAATAGGAACTGAGTATCTCTTATTTTTTGGTCATTTCTTAGCATTATTATCTGTTAGAAAAGATGGAGGATCTTTTGTGTGCCTTGTCATTCTCATCCCTACTAAATCTCTTGGTTCGAGGGATACACTGCTAAAAAGTTTCTAGCTTTCAAATATCTACCCGTTCAGGTAAGGGGTTGGTGATGGGGAGTCTCCCAGTTGATGCTAATGTTTAGATTCCCTCCTAAATACTCAAGAGAATGTCAGTGGAAATTTCTGGTATAGCTTGACTAATGTTTTTTTGGCTGTACAAACTAGGAATAAACAACACTAACACTCTCCATAGGACCATCTGGAGACACTTCTTCAGTATGCCAGTAACAGGAAAGAAGGAAGGAAAGGAAAACTGCATTTTTAAAAGGGGGGAAAAAAAAGAAGGAAGAATAAAATCTTCAAAATCTTCACCTGCGGATAAATCCACCACTGATGGCCATCTGTTCTCGTTCATCCACCACCCGGGCAGGCTGGCTGGCTACAACTCCATCTTGATTGTTGCCCCAGGCTTTTTTGTAAGCATCACTTGATTTAAGCCTATGCAAAAACAGGAGGTGAGTAACAAGGCAGCAAGAGAGGGGAGAGCCAACCGCAAAACATCTTCTCATTATTTGTTTCAAGCTAAGAGCCGAGTCAAGCAAATGGATTGTTTTTGATAAAGGGGGCATTCTGGTATACCGATATATCATAAAGTGGAACAAAAGCATTGCCTTTCTTTTTATTTGTTGCCACAACTCTGGTGCTTGCAAATTTCATTTCCAATAGTGTCAATCATCATGGCCAAGTTGGTGGCTTTTGGAGGGTAGACTTGCTTGATTTACACAAGAATAAACAAATACAACTAGGAAACGTTCAGCTGTTTTTCATGGACACATGTATATTTGGACACCAAACGCAGGGACTGCACTTCTAGACAGACATGAAAACAGAACTGCAAAGGGAAGTGTGTACATCACATCACAGCGAGACATCATCTAAGATTTAAAAAAAGACCAAGATGAAACAAAAACAGACTTAGCCTCCTTTTAAGCAAGGCTCCTTTCTTGATCATGTGGCACAAAGAACTTTTACATCCAACAATTTCTCCAATGGGATACTAGAAGAATGGAGATTCACAGAGGCTTCTATGCCATAAGGTGTGATGGGGCAATTTGGCAAGACATTTTAATAATATATCGGTACTTGGAGAGTGTAACTATAGATCTAGAGTTGATGTACAAACCTTTATCCACAGAGACAGAAAGTAAAATCAGGCCATATTGGATGAATGCAGGGAAATAAAGAAAGAATGCAAGCATGTATAGCGGTTGAGCCTCAGAAAGGGAAATTCCTCTATGTATTTATAGAGAGAGAGAGAGAGATTTCATGCACCAGGTTCAGGCATGAATAAGAAGTGAGAAGCGTTCTCCAGAAAGCACAGCTGCCTCCGTGGTCCAACATTCTCTTAACACACTAGCAGTTATACAGTCTACACAGCAAGTGGGATGCAGTCAAAAATGGGTCTTCTGTTATAGTGAGAATCTAAAACATTAGGTCATATACAGTATCTTTTGAGTTAAATATGCAGGTTTTTTTCAGAGGAACCATCTTTGACTGAGTCTCCACAGGGTAATTAAAATCCAGGCATACCAGCGATAACAAACAATACAGTATTAATGTGTGCAGCATCCTTGTATATTTTAATGGTAGAAGTGTTGGAGATTGCAAATTGAAATTACTGTCAAACGTGGAAGGTTGTTAGAGCCACCTAAACAACATCGGTTTCAGCAAAGCATGTTCCTTTAAGTTTGCACATGAAAACAAGCTCTCCTCCAAAACAGAAAATGTCCAGTAATGTTAATAAACATCTAATATATGCCCAAACTGGCGCTATTTAAAAGCTTTCTAAGGACAGTGAACACATCTGTTCAAACATTCCTTTGGCTTCTTATTTCAAGCAGGGCTAGTTTCACAGCCTAGATGTTGCTTTGTAATCATTGTTTTTGGTCAGAAGTCAATTGACTTCCTTTTGAACAAGTACATGAGTAGAATTACATTGCAGAGCTCCAATCCTATGCATGTCCTCTTGCTGGTAAACCTAACAAGGTGTGTGCTCCAAAGAACATGCATGCAAAAATAATTTTTTAAAAAAACTGCCTTTAAAGTGCTACAATAGTTTTTGATTTTAATGTGTAAGATCAGGCTGTTAAATTGGATTAAACAGAGCATAAGAGTGGAATGCTATTTGGAAAATTAGGTATGCCCTTTGCACAGTAATAACTGGAACATTTGTTTCAAATTGAGCATGAACAGTATGTCATGAGCCACAGTGGCGCTGTGGTTAGAGTGCAGTCCTGCAGGCTACTTCTGCTGACTGCCGGCTGCGGGCAATTTGGCAGTTCAAATCTCACCAGGCTCAAGGTTGATTCAGCCTTCCATCCTTCTGAGGTGGGTAAAATGTGGACCCAGATTGGGGGCAATATGCTGGCTCTGTAAACCGCTTAGAGAGGGTTGGAAAGCACTGTAAAGCGGTATCTAAGTCTAAGTGCTATTGCTATTCTCCAGAAATGGTTGGGCTGCAAACCCTTTGTGCATGATAAGTAGCTGATAGAAGGTGGCATTCAGGCATTGCTAGAAGGCCACACATTTGCCCACCTTGGCTTGAGTTGCTGATTCACTACATCTTTCCTCTTTATATCACCATTTGACTAACCAATTTGGTCTGGTATTCTGTGACTCATTCAGGGTTCTTGTTTCTCAATAAGTGTAGGTTGCTCTGCAACTTGTATCTTGAAAAAAGTATATAGGCTTAACGGGAGCCAGTATGGTGAAGTGGTTAAGGCAACAGGCTAGAAACTGGAAGACTGTAAGTTTCAGTTTCAGTTCCACCTTGGGCACAAAGCCAGCTGGGTGATCTTAAAGCCTGACCCTTTTTCTCAGCCCTAGAAAGGCGGCTATCGCAAATCATTTCGGGGGGTGGTGGGAATGCCAAGAAAATTGCCGAGGGACTTCTCCAGGCAATTCTTAAGAGCCAGATATGATTGAATGGAACGAAAAAAAAAACTTACTATTTATCATGTTCAGCAGTATGGTTTGTCTTTTTAGAATTTTCTGAGAATTCTTGCTACTCCCATTCACATCATTGCCTTTCGAGCTCCGAAGTTCCACTACAACCTTACTTGGAGGGGTGGGATTCAATTTTTCTAACAACCGGTTCTGTGGGTGTGGCTTGGTTGGTAGGCATGGCTTGGTGGTCATGTGACTGCCTGGGTGTGGCCAACTCAACATCACTCACATCGAGGCACGCATCTCCTCGCCTGGCCTCTCATGACTGTGGGGATGCTGCAACAGTCATAAGTGTGAAAAATGGTTTTAAGTCACTTTTTTCAGTGCCATTGTAACTTTGAATGGTCACTCACACAAGCAAAGTACCAGCAAAGGAGGGGAAAAAAACTCCAGAGACATTCCTGAGACAGGAAGTCTAGTCCTGCCAAGAATGTAATAAGGGTTAACGTAGAGGCAGTTTCTGTAAGCAACACCAGAATGTTTCCTTCCTGCCTTCCTTACAGGATTAGGCCAGTAATTTCTTCTAACAACCGGTTCTCCAAACTGCTTAGAATGTTAACAGCCAGTTGTAGCGAATAGGTGTGAACCACCCCTGCTTACTTGGGATGGAATTGAGTGTAAGGGAAGAAGGGATGGCCTTCAAAAATTTTAGCAAAGGGTTCTCTGCCCAGTTGCTGGATGGGTGTGGCCATGGTGGGTGTGGCCTAGTCAGCTTTCTGCACCACAGGTGGGGGCCTTTTTGCCCTCCCCGGGCCTTTCCTTGAACCTCTGGGAGGGTGAAAACGGCCTCTCTGGGCTCCGGAGGCTCTTTGGAAGACGGAAACAGGCCTATTTCTGGCCTTTCCAAACTTCCGGGAAACTTTTCACCCTCCCCGAGCCTCTGCCTGCGCATCCTGCACTTACCTGCATCCAAAATGGGCCATGTGGGGACTCCTGGGAGGAGTGGGAGGGGCCAGCCAGGAGTGGGATTTGGGAGTTCTCCAAACTGCACAGAATCTTAGCTAGGGACTCTCCCAAATCCCTTTGAACCCCCAGCAGCCCACCCCTGAAAGGAAGCCAATCCTCAGTGCAGAAAGTTTAAATCAAACTGGCAGCCCTGAATCGTTGGGTCTGAAAGGGGATATGTGTAGAAAAACTGCACAAGTTTAGACTTCTCACTTTATACTTTAAGACAGCGTTCCTGAACCTTGGGAACTTTTAAGAGGAATGGACTTCAACTCCCAGATTTCTCCAGCCAGTATTGAGAAACACATGCTTTAAGACACCTGTCTGGTTTATAGGGCTTTAAACAGGATTACTTGGGAGGGGTGGATTCCATCTTTCTGGTTAAATGTAAGAAATATAGCAGCCCCCCAATATTTTTTAATTTAAAAAAAAATCTTCTCAACCTGTCCACATATCATAAAACAATCTGAATACTGGATGGAACTTAATTATTAGAATTATTACTCATTCCAGATGTCTGAGCAAATAAACCAAGGCTGGATTATAAATCCAAAACTACAGTACGTTACAAGGCCACATGCAACGGTACATGCTCACATGCAAACAGACATCCACCATTCTAGGCCTGTTTTAATATTTATAAATGTTTTAATCATTCATCCATACAATAATTCACCCCACACTAAAAATTTTTATCTAAGCACACATTCTTTCTTCTCTATGTTCTCCCTTTAAAGCTGATACATCCAATTGGTTATGCTGCCCTTTCATTTCATTGGCAGTAATATGGAAGCAGGTCTAATATATTTCAACATTTTTTCTTGGTGTCACGCTACACAGTGGAGAGCTGCTATGAGCAACATGGATCCAGTTTCTTTTTTTTTTTCCTGACAATATTTTACTTTCCAGTAGCTTGGGATCCAACCAGGAAAACAAGATGTATCTCCAAATCTTTTCCCTTTTGCATTTCATCCAAATAATCATTTTATGTATTTCTGAGCCATGAGTCGTGGTCAAGAAGTACTCCTTTAAAGGCTATTCAGAGGAAGAAAAGATTAGATAGGGTCGTCATAATTTTTGAAATTTAAATTGTTTAATGTGCACACTCTAAAATGTTGAAATTGTCACCATTGAAAAGGACCTACAGTGAAACTTTTACTATGGTATGCCTGATTTTAATGCACCTAATATAATCCTGCTATTGTCTACACCAGGGGTTCCCAATCTGTAAATACACAAGCCACTGTTGAACTCTGAGACGGCAGTAAGTAGTCCACACAAACAAACTTTCTTTTCTTGTCCAGCAGTGGCCCACCACGGAGGGGAAGGGACACGTGGACTGCCACTGTCTCTTCCCTACTGGGACTGATGTGAAGCCATGGGCCACCAGGTCAGCATTCACATTTCCAGGAAATAGATAGCAGTAAGATGTGTCTTGGGAACAAACGGTGAGACTGCCTTGATTCCCTGGAAGGTGGAAATTTGAAAGCTGATAAGCAGGAGCCGCCGGTAGCCAAAGAGGGATTTTTGGAGACAGGGCCAAAGTGGTTTGTTAGTCAGAAAGCTTGGGAACCTCTGGTCTACACTATGAGATGAATGCATTGGAACTAGAAGTGTTCTCTCTGCATGCCACATGCTCATCCTGCCCAGGTGCCTTAAGCAAGGATGAACATCACAAGGCTCTGTTGAGGCCAGCCTTGAATGCTCTAAAAACCAGGCAGGCAGGCAGGCAGGCAGGCAGCACCTACTTGTTACATGGACAGGCACAAAGGCCACAGAATTTTCCTAGGTCCGTCAAATTCTTTTCTGCTTCTTTCATGTCCTTATTGATTTGGTCCATTCCCTCTTCGATGCGTTCCAGTTGTTCTGATTAAACACAAGCATTTTATCCCCACAGTATGAAGCAGATGGAAAGGGACAAAGAAAAAAAAAGACAAAAGGAAAAAAAACAACTTCAGACATTCACTCATGACAAAGAACTGGACACTACAGAGCAGCGCTGGCACCAAGTACCTACTTGTTACAAGGACATATGAAAAGGCCACAGCATTTCCCTAAATCTTTTAAATTTTTCTCGGCCTCCTTCATGTCTTGGTTGATATGGTTCATGCCTTCTTCAACACGATCGAGTTGTTCTGGTCAGGACAAAGGGATGACAGTATGGAATGAATTGATTTTTTTTTAAAGTTGTAGCTGTTTGTCTTCAACAGAAAATGGGGGGAAATGATGTATGGAGAAATAGAATTAGTATGATGGCATCACAATGCATTAATTGCAGCTGATGCATTGAAGCAAAAATGGAAGCAGTCCTAGAGGCTAAAAAATTAACCAGTCCCTTTTACTAAGATGGTAAAGCACACATACATCCATATACAAAAAAAAAATATGGATAAGTGCTTGATGCCTGCTAATTAGAACAAAAATGTAAAAACAATGGAAGTGCTATCAAATACTTCAGAATCCAGAAACGTAATACAATACATCCAGTGACTAAGACACCAATGACATCCAAGAAAAATAAAGAAATGGGATTATTACCTTGTAATACATTTGTGTACATTAATAACAGTTTTACATAATTGCCTTCCATGGACAATATCTACAATACTTCCACTTACAAATGTCTTTGAGTTTGATGATGGTTGAAAATGTAATTGGTTTGCTTGGTGGAAGTGTGTACAGTTAATAATGGTATTTAGAATGGATATGAGTAGCTGAGTTAAGATCCATGTCCAGATACAAACTTTTTTCAAGGACTGAGGCTCTTCAGATCTGAATTTTGGGCCGAGGTCCATCTCTAAAGAAGGGAAGACCATGGGTCTTATTCCTCTGTCAGTGACACTGTTATATGCTAGGAGTGACCCCAGTGGAGTAGAAGGAATTACATAGAGCGCAGGACACAGTTCCATGTCCAGAGAAGCAGATGGATAGACTTCCATACAATTAGGGAGACTCAGAGCAGATGCAATATATAGATAAATAGATGGATAGTTAGATAAAAAATATAATAGAAAACCATCTCTCCCCCCCCCCCAATTGGTGGGCATTATTTCTTGCTTACCTGATCTCCCCATGGATTCCAAGACATTATTAGGTCAATGTAATTCCTTTCACTTTAATGGAGTTACACCTGATTTGCATTAGAACAGAATATAACACAAATATCAAGCCCACTATTTGGGTTTATATGAGAATAATAAGTGACTTTTATAAATGCCACTGAGCCTATGCTGGCTTAGACTTGAATTAGTTACAGATTGCCTTTTAAAAGTGGCTGAGAATCATTGTTCTTATTAAGATATGCTGAATAGCACAAAGTAGACATTTGAGATTGCAGAAACAATCATACAGCTCGATCCAGTCAATATTTAGGTAGAAAAAAAATGCTCATCATGTTTAGCAGTAATTATTTCCGGCAAAGTACACAGAATTGTGAACCTGCAAGAAACCTCCTTCTGAACCTCAATTATTTTCCACTATCATAAACATGTTCATTTCAATAGCATGTCACATTGGATCCCACCCTTCACCCTAAGGAAACAAAATAATGAAGAAACACTTTAATTTTTTTTTTAAAAAGGAGGGGGGGACTAATTCCATTTAATGCAAGGAAAAGAAGAAGAAATATTAGCAACAAGACGGAGGTTCTATTTCTATTTTCTGCACAGGAACTAATAGGTTCGTGTTCTTACGGCTAAATAACAAGAAGGGGGTGGATGGGTGGGGGCAAACAATACAACTTGTAGTCATTAAATCAAAGACCAGCCTTTTGAAATCACAAAATAGGTTTAGAGAGAAAAAGTATTGAGGTTCTAGAGGTTTTTTTTTTGTTTTTTTTAATTTCTCCAATTTCTATATGGAAGGTAAGAGATAAGGTAAGAGATAAGAGAAAGCTGAAGATAAAGAAGGAGCTACCCATGCAATCATAATCCATCCTGAAAGAGCAGCGTGAGTTACAAGGATGCTTGAGATGACTGCTAGGTGATGGTGTGGATTTTCCGGGATTTTTAAAAGCAAAATTACTTCAAAAAAGAAAAAGAAAAATCTGCAGACTTCTAACTCTGTGTATTTGATATGGCTTTTTATGTGAATGGCAAGTGTACGTTTAGTAAACATGATTACAGAAAGTTAATGCAGACATAAAAGGATGATGTCAGCTAGGATGACATTCGGTTGGCTTTAGAATAGCAGCTGCAGTTTATATTTCAGCTCAAGGACAATTGCTAGGAAACGAAAGGCTATAAGGAGCAAATGTCTGATGCAACGGACAATTTAATTTCTACATAGAAACCCCTGTGGTTCACACATACCTGGAAAATACACACATTTTAAGGATAACCTCCTGGGGCTTAAATATTAAAATAGCAGCCACGCAATTCAGTGTGTCACTGAATTTCAGCAGCACTGCTGGACAAAAAATACAGTGTAAGGGCCATAGGTTGCCCACCAAAGAAAATTATTGATATTTTAAAATTTCATTGATTTTGGAGTATATATTAGTATGATTCGGGGCAATTAAAGCCTGAGATGAATTTGTGGAGCTGTGATTCACAGATTCACCAACTGACTATGCCTACAGTTTGTGTCTTAAAAAGGACCAGCCTTGTGCCCTTAGCATACCTGAAATGAGCTTGTGCTTGAATTAACTTACTAAAATTGAAGTAATAATTTTCATGTGATATTGGGAGCATTTAGTTTCCATTTAACTTTAGGCTATGGGTCAAATAATCCCCTCTTGGTATCTATTCTTCTGAATCAAGAAATACAAGGCCCGTTATTACTAATGCCAAATGGTTCTCAAACTCACAAAACTCAAAAGCAGAAACTTGCTTAGAAGTTACACCGTTGTTATACTGAGGGTGGAGTCAGGTGTCCAAAGTGACTGTCAACAATATCAAAATGGAAGGCAGGGCTGAGTGAGCAAAGCCCCACCTCTTTCGACATCATTGATTACCCCTGAATGGGAGACACCTTTGTGATAACTATATGGTACCTCAATATCTCTTGGAAATGTATTAGTTCCTTCCCTCACCTTTCTCCTGCAAATCCACGGAGATTTCAAACCCACTTATTGTTTCTCTTTGGTGAATAGTGGCCTGTGTTCAACAATGTTCTGTATTTTTATTTCATGTGGACAGCACCTTGAACAGTCTTACATTGAATTGATTTTTTTTTTAAAGGCAGAAATAAACTCTTAATCTAAGCTAATTATTTGGTTTAGAGAAAGGACAATCAAGGGGACAATATAATCAAAGCTTATAAAATTAGGTGTGGCATGCAGAAGGTTTTATTTCTCCTTCGGAACATGGATTGGAAGGAGATTTGGAAAAGAAGCTAGAAAGCACACAGCTCACAATTGAACTGTGGAAATTATTATCCCAAGACATGCTGATGGCCATTACATCAGAAGGATTTTAAAGGGAAATGGATAAGTTCATGGACAACAGAATGATGAGAAGACATATTTGGGGCGTGATGCTGTCTCCAAATGTCAGTCATAGAGGAACAAAAGCTATGGAAGGTGCATCTCCTCCCAAGCATTGCAGAGGCCTTTCTGCTCTTAGAAACAAAGTGAATTTTGGGCCTTGGCTTGATTCAATAAAGCCACTCTAATGTTCTCATTATGCTGAAGCAGACAGCTGAGTCTTGTAAATTTTCTTCAACACCAAAATAAACAAACGATCTAGGAAACTGAAAGAGTCAGGAGAAGATCCAAAGAAATCGAAGGGATCGGTCAACTGAACATTCAAATGAACCATATCAGAGCCCAGTTTCATAATTTTGAGACTCACATCATTTGATGAATCAGATTATCTGTGAGACATTCATGGTCTAATGGAAGTATAGCCTGTCCCAATTGTGCCAATATAAAAATTACATATTTCCTAAACGTATTTCCTAATATAATTAATCAAACATGGAAATAAAATAAAAGCAGCCAAAGTGAATCTAAATGGTTTAAAATTTATAGAAAAGTGTTTTAATTACATTTCCATATTTTGAATGACTTACAGTCTTGCATATAAAAGAACCACCAATATCTATTTTGGAAAGGCTTATAGGAAGATCTGACTCTTTCCTATATGCATTTGTGCTGAGTGTTCCATTATGTGGCTTGTTCAAGTTTCACTATCAAAATTCCTTCTCCCTCCAGAATGCAGATAACCTGATCCCTAAAGTAACCTGCCCTTCAAAGAAACATTAAGGAATGTTAAAATTTTAAACACTGTAGCTCTGATTAGAGGATTTCTGTTCATTTTAGTAAAAAGGCATGTGCTAGGAACATCTTCCTAGTTTAGATGGCTGCAGTTCAAGACCTATAAACAAGTATATACACGTGTTGGTAAGACCATTAATTGGTCTAAAGTTCACTGTTCCTAAAAGGGGCTTTTGGGGTAAACAATCTGAACTTACCTCCTTGCTCATCCAACATAACCAAGGTCCTGATACCAGCATCCTTGCTCTATATTCCAGTGAGAATAACAAGATGAAACAAAGAGACATAGAGATAGAGAAAGAAAGAAATTAGTGAAAGAACTAATAGTCAAGCTCAAATCAAAGTTAAACAGTGAAGAAAGGCAATAAGAAGGAGTAAAGGCTACAGTCATAAGTATTGAAGAAACAATGCAATAGATACCACATCAGTACTACCATACTAGGAGAGCCTTCCCTATCTTGATCTATGGGGATACTTACTGGTCTTCTGAGAATTGTAGTCCCTATAGTGGAACTATTGGAGGGTAATTGTGTAGTTTAAATAATGACGTGGCTGGTTAAAAACAAAATAAGTGTTGCTATTTGGAGGACATCAGATTAGAATGACTCACCTTGGGACTCATGGCAACACCAGATAATTTCAGAAGGAAGAAGAAGTCATTAGAAAATGATGGCTCAGTTTTGGTTCTGCAAAAGTTAGGAACTTATTGTTCCAAAATTATTATTATTATTTGTTCTGTATTGTGTTCGTCTGTGTATTGTGTTCGTCTTTGTCACAGACGAACACAATACAGAAGCCTGATGATGGCAGATGAGATTCTGCCGAAACGTTGCTACAACTTTAAAAGCACAACTACAATGACGTGGGAAAATACCCGAACAAAGCTGAATACTACATATATATGTATGTATGTATGTATGTATGTATGTATGTATGTATGTATGTAT